TGCCAACCGGACCACCGTATGTGATGTGCCGTATTGTCCAACGGAAGATACTGTTGTTAGTGGATCTACATATAGTTTGGCCACGGTTACATCTCTCCGAGGTCGGTCACCAGCAAAAGGGGGCACCATTGTTCCAACAACACAACCCGCGGTGGTTTAGCTCAAACCAATTCTCGCACAACACATGCACCACCACATTCCGGTGAGTTGATCTATTTAATCATCTACATCCTTTAACTGACCCCATATCTCAGATTTCCCCGCTCGACAACAACATGAACAGTTGTTTCTTTCGGCCGCTCCACTCCCTCCCCCACCCCACCCCCCCGCCTTCCTCCGGCCCTCTCCATTTATATACCCTCAATCACATCAACACACATACAGATAGAGATAAGGAGAGGGAAAAACAAGAGCAACAAGCATACACACACACACACACACACACGCACGCAGCTCGAGAGACAATTCGAACCCCTCATTTGTATGACTTGCTTTCGACTCATTCTCGCAGTCCGATCTGATGCTTTGTACACAAGATTTCACTCACTTATGACTAGGCTATACGAGTATGTTTCTTATTTTACTCTCATTTGTTTCCACTCCAAACAGCAACAATCTGAACTTTCAGTGCACATGCAAAGTATCTCACTGACACACATACAAGCATATGCACAATCCGATATGAACAAACATGAGCCAGTTCTCGACTTTCCATCACTGTCTTCAGTCAGTCAGTCCGTTTGTGAAACAAGCACTCGCTATAGATATGTTTATAAATATGTGTACAGATTGCCACATAATTTCTAATTTGACTTGTTCACTTATGTCGCACGGATGGATTTAAGGGAATCGTAATTAGTCTTGCATTTCTATATATTTCACCAATTGGGAAAATATACCCCGTAAACGGTTTACATTGCTGTGGGTGTATTTGTTTGTATCCAACGTTTGAGGCTGCTGTTGTAATACGGCCTAGGGCCCGGGCTCTCACAGAACAGTAGAGTGAACAGCGATGCACGAATCGTATTCCCAGAGCTCGAGGTGATACAAGACTTTGGGGGCGACCGAGGACTACGGGGAAATGACGGTAGGGCTGAAATACGACCGGGATACTGGGTCACGAAGAAAACAGGTCCTCCGTGGATTCGCGTTTAACACAAACACCTGTAAGACAGAGCAAATATAGAACGCTATGAAGCAAAAAGGTCCAGCGAGATAGAATCACTTACGATAAAAGATTACTGACACGGTTGCCAAGCGTTACAGTGTGTAGTTTTAGAATGTGCATCGTATATAATAATCCTTGACCATTGAATAATGGGTATTTTCAAATAGTTGTTTGGCAGATTTGTAGTTTGTATGGTGATTGTGAAAAGTGCAGTAGCTTCGATGGGATTCGAACACACGCATGGACACCGCCTATGCCATACAAACTTTAGAATTGCCAAACAACTACTTGAACAATTAAACTTGCCTTAGAAGCTCATTCGGTAGACTCCGGTAAATTTTGAGGAAAACCTGTCGGGGCAGTCAGCTTACATGCTAACTAGTGGATGCCACATGCCTCTGTAAGTTGGATNGATGGGCAATTCGAATGTTAAAAGATCAGTGCTATCGGTGGCTAGTAGAGCATGTGCGTACAAAGCGTAGACGACGTTCACGCGTGGGTTCGAATCCCACCGAGGCTACTGAACTTTTCACAACCGCCATACAATGAGCATTTAGTTGGGTTTGCTGTTTCCCACAAACACACTCACGAACACCCTCACTCCATCCTCCACTTGGATATAGATAACGCAGCAGGCATGGTGTCATTAGTAGAGGGAGAGAGTGTATCTGCAGCCGACCACTGGGATATTACCCATTCAACCATTCTGTCATACACTGCCTGTACTACAAAGCGTCTTCCAGTCGTAGTTATTTCTACCTCAGCTGTTTTCACTGGCGAACCGGATTTCATTTTTTCTTCAAAGCGGGTTCATCCGGCAGTATGAAAGTATGTTACGCATAGCTTGTGTGTCGCACTTACACACCCAATGTGTACATCGGTTTCATCTAGCTTGTTGAGAGCTGTCGGCAATACTTATGAGCAGAATTGTTAATGATTTGAATTCTGGCGTTCCGAACCGCAGTTCGTAAACCACTGGATTTACCCGCATATGGTCTTCAGCGACCTGTTTCACGTTAACACTGCATGCTGAAGCACTTGGCTGTTGTGTTGTTCGTTTTTAGTTCAGACTAATGATCGGCATTTGAGATTCTTGTTTTAATACAGTTCAGAGAGAAAATCAATGTCATTATCCGTAGGCCATACAATGACGGTAGCGCAGTAAAAGAGATAACCGCCGCATTTCCAAGGCTCAGGCAGTATACGCAGGACTGAAACACTTCTGGCGTAGACGCGACGGTTCACTGAAGTTAAAATGTCGTGTATATTGCGCTAGCGTTCGTTCAGTTCTGCTTTGTGGTTGTGAAACCTTGAATTTGCAAGTAGAAGATATCCGTCGTGTAGAGGTTTTCAATTAGCGGTGTTTACACAGCTAAACACACGTTGGGTGGAGCGAACGGATAAGTAACGTTGAGGTAAGCCGTCTTGTGTTCGGGAGTCGTTCAGATATAAAATTGTTAGCACACCGAATTCGGACCAGTAGACTTCCTTGCCTAAGGCCCGTATTGCGTATGCCCCGTCATCGTCTGCCGCACCGCACTTTATTCGCTGTAGCCGCTCCGGGCTAGAGGAAACCATATGGAGGTCAACAAATGACGTAGAGAGGAGGCATGAAAAAATGCAGTCATTAGGAAGAGTAGGTGTCTCTCGCCTTCCAGGTTAGGGTCCGAAAGACTCCATAACCAGCTGGTTGGAAATATTGAAGGATAGGGCAGCGAACCGACAGCGGTGGTGTTCTTGTCATTTATTATCAGTCCAGAATGCCTGAAGCGGCATGTGCGCAGAGTTCTATTCTGTACTGTGCGTTGACCATAGTAATTCACATTCTCTGTCCATCGAGATAAGTCTAATAGGTCCAATCCCTGTCCACCTTGTATTTTACCGCTATTCTTGTATGCATTGCGAGTTTGGCAGCGATCAGTGTAGTTCGCCTAACTGTATTTCGCTGTACAATGATGATGATTATGATGATGATGATGATGATGATGATGAGGTTGTCCTTCCGTCCTGATTGCAGTTTCCGTCCGTTATCGATCGAATGGTCAACAAATTGTAAAATGCTCCAGGCTGGTATTGGGTGCATCAGTGTGCACCAAATGTGCAATAGGTGCTCACGATGAGAAAGGCTTGACTGGGGGCAAAATAATAAAACAACTGTGTGCGTGTCCGTGCGTGTGTGTCTGTGTGAGTGTCCGTGCGTGTGTGTCTGTGTGAGTGTCCGTGCGTGTGTGTCTGTGTGAGTGTGTGTGCGTGTGCCTGTGTGAGTGTGTGTGAACACCAAACGAGCGGGCGCGTTTCTGCGGGCGTATTTGGGACCACTAATTCACGCGGTCTGGGGAATACGATGGCTTGAAGGTAATTATGTTGCTTCCTCAATCAAAATTGCAGTTTTAAGAATCATCTCACATCTCACAATTCGTGAGGTGCCATGAATCAACGTGTGAGCACCATCTATATAGGGGTCTGTGCTACATTCCCAGCTGAACATGTTGCGCTATCCAATCCACAGGAGTGAGGGGCGTGTTTATTGTAATCTGTCGACCTTGAGTGTATGATGCAAATAAATCTCTTCGTGTGTTTTCCTTTTTGTTGATTGAATAGCCGAGGGTATGCGTTCAATGTGGCCTGGTCTGCTTTGATCGTGGACACCCTTCAGAGCTGACGTATCGATCTGCGGACTCTTCACGTGAGCGAGGTTTTACAACTAAAATCGACAGGACATCCACAATAGTGTGCAATGAAATCAGTAGTAGGCCACAACACACACACACACACATTCATTTGCATGTTCACTTCCACAAAATTGATATGATCCTTCGACTACGTTTATGTTGTGTGAGTGCTCAATAATCAATACTTCGGTAACCAGTCCAAGTAACGGTTGGCGACCTATTGGTGGTCACCGAGTATCAAACCTGTAAAAGTGCCTTGCATTTTGCTATCATCCAGAATTTTCATCCAGCATTAGTCTGGACATTGAGAAAGGAGGAGGAGAATGAAGAAACAAAATCACTGACGTAATTCACATATTCAATCGATCGAACAAAACAATATTGGGGATTTTGAGCTTTGTGCAATTGTTCCACCTGTAGTGTCCTCGCTAACCACCAGTGTCACTTTGTGGACTAAACACGGGGATTGAGAAAGATTATACACTTCGGTGTGGAACGGCA